TCACCTCAGCCTCCCAAAGGCGCGGGATTACAGGCTGAGCCACTGAGCCCGGCTGTGAATCACTTTCAATGCGTAAATATTTCATCATAGTGGTAATGACACACACGTGGCTGAAGTTTGGAAAGAGTCATTTATCGACCAGGTGCAAAAGATTCTGCCTCAGGGCAGAGGACAAAAATTCTAGTCTTCACCCTGCCTTGTACTGAGCAGGTTGCTTGTTCAGTGCCTGGATTTCCCCACCAGCCTCACAGCATGTCCATCTACTCTATATGCCTTACAGAATTGCTTTAAGAATCCAAAAAAGGGCCTGTAATCCCGTGCCTTAGGAGGCTGAGGTGAGTGGATTGCCTGAGCCCACGGGTTCGAGACCTCCCTGGGCAACTTGGCGAGACCTCATCTCTACAATAAATCAAAAAATCAGCCGGGCGTGGTAGCGTGCGCCTGTAGTTCCAGCTACTCAGAAGGCTGAGGTAGAAGGATTGCCGGAGCCCAGTGGGTCGAGGCTGCGGTGGCCGGGAGCGGCCACTGCACTCCAGTCTGGGCGACAGAGTGAGACTCCAACTCAAAAAAAAAAAAAGAAAAAAGAAAAAAGAATCCAAAAAGTGCACACTGTTCCCACACTGTACCCCACACCTGTAAAGTAAAATCTATAGTAAAAAAAAGAGGGCCAGGCATGGTGGCTCACACCTATCATCCTAGCACTTTGGGAGGCCGAGGTGAGAGGACTGCCGGAGCCCATGGGTTTGAGACCCGCCTGGGCAACTTGGCGAGACCCTGTCTCTACAATAAATTGCAAAAATTAGCCGGGCATGGTAGTGTGCGTCTGTGGTTCCGGCCACTTGGAGGGCTGAGGCGGAAGGATTGCCGGAGTCCAGCAGGTTGAGACTGCAGTGGCTGTGAGCATGCCACTACACTCCAGCGTGGGTGACAGAGTAAGACTCTGACTCAAAAGAAAAAAAAAGAGTTGGGCTCAGTGGCTCACACCTAACATCCAGTACTTTGGGAGGCTGAGGTGAGAGGATTGCCAGATCCTGCAGGTTCGAACTAGCCTGGGCAACTTGATGAGACCTCTTCCCTACAAAAAAAAAAAAAAAGCAGCGGGCGTGGGAGCGCGCGCCTGTAGTTCCAGCTACTCGGAAGGCTGAGGCGGAAGGATCGCTGGAGCCCAGCAGGTCGAGGCCGCGGTGGCCGGGAGCGGCCACTGCACTCCAGTCTGGGCGACAGAGTGAGACTCCGACTCAAAACAACAACAACAACAACCAGAAAGCCAAAATCCACGTGGTGCGCTTTCACAGAAGTGGGAACTGGGTGTCACGCCAGCCGGCAGCGCTCGGAGCTCAGCAGCACAGACGCGCGCCTCGATGCTCGACGGCCCCCTGTACTGATCGGAACAAATCTCAGAAGACCTTGAATCGGATGAACTTCTTTTTCCAGGAGTGAAGTCCAGAGAGATAGATTTGCTTCAGGGCTTCATGGCTCAGCCGTAGGTCGATCCCGTCCGGGGTGACCGTGAACTGAAAGGCCACGGCTTGGTGAGCCTCTGCCATCTTCAGGGATTACCTGGAGGGACAAAAAAAGAAATGCAACGTTAGAAAAACCCCTCGCATAGAAGTGTTCACTCTGGATAAGGTTTTCTTTCTTTCCTTCTTCCTTCTTTTTTTTTTTGAGTTGGAGTCTCACTCCATCGCTCAGGCTGGAGGTCAGTGACACGCTCACAGCCACCGCAGCCTTGACCTGCCGGGCTCAGGCGATCCTTCTGCCTCAGCCTCCCAAGTATCTGGAACCACAGGCGCGTGCCACCACACCCAGCCAATATTTTGGTTTATTGTAGAGATGAGGACTCACTAAGTTGCCCAGGCTAGTCTCGAACCCCAGGCTCAGACAACCCTCCCAAAGTGCTGGGATTACAGGTGTGAGCCACCACGCCCGGCTCCTTCCTTTCTTTCTCTCACCCCATCTCTCCCTTCTTTCTTTGTTCCTTCCCGGCCCGCTCCCGGCCACCGCAGCCTCGACCTGCTGGGTTCCGGCGATTCTTTCACCTCAGCCTTCCGAGTAGCTGGAATTACAGGTACATGCTACCACGCCTGGCTAATTTTTAAAAATTTATTGTAGAGATGAGGTCTCACCAAGTTGCCCAGGCTAGTCTCGAACCCCAGGCTCAGACAATCCTCTCACCTCTGCCTCCCAAAGTGCTGGGATTACAGGTGTGAGCCACCACGCCTGGCTCCTTCCTACCTTCCCACCTTCCTTTCTTTCTCTCACCCCCCTCTCTCCCTTCTTTCTTTGCTCCTTCCTTCCTTTTTTTATTGAGTTGGAATCTCACTCTGTCGCCCAGGCTGGAGTGCAGTGGCCGCTGCCGGCCACCGCAGCCTCGACCTGCTG